CTTATGACACCGGAGATGCCTCCATAAACGAGGCCAGCAGAACCTGAATGGCAAAAGTCAGCACCTTTTCAGACGATACCCGTCGTATTGGACCATTGAAGGTCTCGAGGGCAAGTCTCCGGGTTGGTTGGGCAGAGTGAAGAACTCACCGCTCAAAGCTCCTGCTTTTAGTGACGCCAACCATACATTCTCTCCTAATACAGGCCTCTGACCATTCTGTCCGCTCATCTTGCGACTGACCAGGGAATGTATATTTGAAGCATGCCGCTGTGGTTGGCTACTTAAATGATAAAACATGCTGTTATCTATCAGAGATGTTCATATGCCGGAACCTCACGTGACCTCCGGTCATTCGCAGACGGGTTTTCTACCTCGATTTCCGATCCAGATATCGATCATCTATCTAAATGCTACTAGAGAGGATTCAGCCGTGTTTCACCTTACTCTATTTACAGTTTTAAACTGATTTGGTTAACTCGAGAAAGGATAGGCACCAAAAAAGTAGGACCAATCTGCTTGTGAACCATCTTGATTGAACCATACACATTGTGCCTGTAATAGGTACAGTTTGCCTCTTCACCTACCCCTGGACCCAGCCAGGGACCTCTGCTGTCGAATATTAGTGGGAAACGTATATCCCTCTAATGGTCGCATCATGCCCTTATTAGTCTCTCTCAACTTTGCACTCTGTAGATACTGGTCTATACTACTGAGCCTCAGAATCCTGTTGGTGTGCCTGCAGGATAATAATCCGCTTTGGGCTAAGGGCACAAGCTTCCCTCCCCGTACTCTGTATTACTGGATTGGTTCGAGATGACTTGCATTGAGCCGATCAATCTTGAAACAAAGTTAGAAGTATGATTTATAGTGATTATCAGTAATAGCTAGGTAATTAATTGCTTTACTATCAGGAAAAAATGTGCATCTTGCCTCTCCAGGATATCTTGATGGCACACCGAGCACGGATGTGACAAAGCCCTGGGGTTGGGTCGAGGCCGGAAGCCGCACCACCACTTTTTTTTTCCTGAGGCTGACTTTTCTAGCGTCATACTAAAAATTATCCTCACGGATTAACCTACTTTCCCCCCTCTGTCCTTTCAACTGCGGAGGTCACCTGCAATAATTCATCACACGTCTACTTGTTCAAACAACTAGACGTCATTTCTTGAAATCGCTTTTATCTTCCTGTCTGGAAGTCTTCTTATAACCCTATTTAGAACCATTTAACATCCTGCCTGAGACGCGCACAAGTCCTTGGCGCGTTTCCTGAATTTCCACAACCGCAATCATGGGTATGTACCACCCTGGACCCCTCCTTCAGTGCATCCCATGAGTCTCCAAATCAGATGCGTCGAATATGATGATGAGTACTGACGGTATCCGATGCAGCACCCGCAAAGCAGAAAGCCCAGAAGATGTCTATCGGCACCTTCCTGGCCGATGAAAGTAGGTTCCCACACAAATTCCCCGCGGGGATGGGCGGTGCTAAGCGAAACAGGCCTTGGCTCTTGGGCCGATGAGATGGAGGATATGCCTTTGCCTTGTAAGTTGCAACTGTCGTTGATGAACCACTCCGGAAAAATGATGATTTTCGCTGATTTCAGGACTTTGCAGCCGGTATGTACTAGGCGCACTATCGTGATACATTTCCGCCGATAGTCTCTTCCACTTGCGATAAGGATGACAAGGCTAAAGATACATAGCTCCTCCTTCCCAGCCCAGCTACGGAGGTGACCGCCGGGGCGCTGGCCCTCTTTCCGGTGGATTCGGCAATGGCTTTAATGGTATGGCTCCCGGTTTGAATCTGTTAAGAATACAGACTGATTCTAGAGTGACACAGACCGTGGTGGATATGCGATCAGAGAGCCTCTCCCACTTCCTACTCAACCCCCTTACACCGCTCACGTTGGAAACCTTTCTTTTGAGGCGACCTCGGCCGATATCAACGACCTGTTTGCTGGGTGTGGCGTGACGAACGTCCGTATCGTTGAAGATAAGTTGACAAGAAGCCCCAAGGGCTTCGGCTATGTTGAATTTGAGACCGTCGACGGCTTGAAGAAGGCCCTTGACCTCTCAGGAACCACCCTTCAGGGAAGAGCGATTCGTGTCAGCATCGCTGAGCCCCGTAAGTAACTTCTCGCATGTTCAACACATTCTGTGCGCAAGAAAAAAACTGACTGCCGTCAACAGCCAAAGAGCGTGATGTCAAGGAGCTTGACTGGACTCGCAAGGGCCCCTTGCCCGCGCCCGAGCAACCTCCCCGTCGTGTGCCCGACCGCTCGACTTTTGGACGTAACCTCGACAACCTCTCCGATGCCGGTAGCGAACGTGCCAGTGGTCGTCGCAACTTCGAGTCGGATGGAAAGGTGCGCGATTTCGGCAACTGGGAGCGCAAGGGTCCTCTTTCTCCGGTGACTGGACCAGTCAGAGAAGGTGGCCGTCCTAGCAGCAACGAAGGCCCCGGTTTCAGAAGAAGCTCGCCCGCTTGGGGTGAGGGACGCTCTCAGGATGGCTCGAGACCCCCGCGCCGCGAATTCCAGGAGCGCGCACCCACTGCCGCCGAACTCGATAACTCATGGAGAGCCAGAATGCGCCCCGATCAGGCCCCTGCCAAGGAACCCAGTAACCCTCCTTCTCCCGCCGCTACTCCCGCCTCCCCCGCCGCTCCCGCCGCTCCCGCCTCTCGCCCTAAGCTGAACCTCCAGAAGCGGACTGTCACCGACACTCCGTCCAGCCCCGCTGCCAGCACTGACTCGAAGGCTAGCCCATTCGGCGGTGCTCGGCCCATCGATACAGCCGCCAGAGAGAGACAAGTTGAGGAGCGTCGTCAACTAGCGCTCCGTCAGAAGAAGGAGGCCGAAGACAAGGCCAAGGCCGAGAAAGCCGAGAAGCAGCGCCAATCCAAAGAGCAGGCCAAGAGCGACAAGCCTGTGCCAGCCGCCGATCCCAACGGCAAGGACAGCATGGAGATTCCTCAAGGCGGAAAGAACTTCGAGATCCTCCGGCAGGCCGGTGAGGATGAAAGCGGTGCTGCCGAACAAGAGCAACCGGAAGAAGCTCCTGCCGCCGCTGCGGGTGATGAGGCCTCGAAGCAGGCTCCCGCTGGCAAGGCGAACGGTAACTGGCGAAGCGGAGGTCCTGCTCAGCCCGCCGAGGCTGCCGCAGATGAAGAAGGCTGGAGCACTGTGAGCTCGAGGCAACGCAACAACCGTCGTGGACAGTCTGGACGTACATTCGCATAGATTTCTCGATACCCTGATTCATGTCATCGTTCATAGCCGAGTACTACTACGCTGGTTTCAGGGGGAAGTAGGGGTTCGTCAGTTGTCATTTGTTTCGGATGCCACAAATCTGACGGTACAGCCTCCATGCTTTCAGCATTTGCTTCTTGGTTAAGTCGATGGCCGGCCTTTTTTTCTCCTCTGCCATCCTCTCTACTCTCCACCTTCTCTTTGGTTCGTGATATCTTTCGTCGGCCTAGATTCCTGAACCACGTCTCGTCACTGCTGACGTTGTCGGGCACGTCGAAAAAGTTCGTGTTTATTTTCTTGTTATGTCTACCCATTTCCTTGTCGTCATCTGTGTTTACCCTCCCCTTCTCTGAGCTAGCTATTCCCATGTTGTGTGGATTTAGTGTTGTGCACTCATGACCCATCACGGCCTATGTGAAGGAGCGGGCTATGTGACTTCCTGAGATGTTTGTATTTCTTCCTTCTCCTTTCCTCGGCAGAATTGGTCTTCTCGCTGTCAACGTATTCCCCCCTCTCATTGTCTATCTTGTTTCGGGATTGGGGGAGATGGAGTGTGGAGTCCTATTCTACTTGTTCTTCTAACGGAGCCATGTCCCTTCCTAGATGACGAGACAGCCATGCGAATAAGATTATGACTCAGAAGCTAGATGTATGATGCAAAAGCTGGGAAGAACATAGAATGCAATGTAGGCAACTTTAGTGGCGACAGGCGTCAGCCACCAACTTCTCTTGACAGCTCCTCCGTGTTAGAAAGCTGTCCTTGACTAGGTGTGGGAGGCTACATTCCAGTGCCAGCCACTGGGGGATAAATATCCCAGGCAAGGAGGGACTGAGCAACACGAAGAGAAGAGTGGCAGGTAGCGAGTAGATAGCTAACCTTTCACGGAGAACCTGCACGTTGCAAGGGATATAGGTAGAATGGCTGGTGTTTCCCTGGCGATCAGCTGTGGTGACGCTGAGATGCTTTCATATGCAAGGGACTAATGTCTATGGCTGGGGAACCCTCCACTCCTGCGCAGGCAGGTTGGATCAAGATGATGAGGTAAAGAGTGGTATCTGTATATGGGATCGATATTGATCGATATTGATATCCTAGGAAACTGGATTATTTGATCTAGTTCCTGGGAGGTGACCAGTCAACCACACTAAAATCCACCAGACGCGGAGACTAAAAAGTGATCCACGATCTACACGTGTACCTTTTATTAGGCGACTCATTTAATAACAATCGAATCATATCTGGTCGAATATTCTGGTGAATAGTGAGCTTCAGAAATTGAGGATTGACATTTCAGTAAAAATCTTGAATTCCAGTTTGCTGTGTTCATTGATGGGAGATTCCTTTGCCTTCAGAGACAGCCCAAGGTAGAGAGACATATTTATAGAATGCGCTAAACATAGGTAGACTTTACTGACTGTAACTCCAGCCTGTAACACGAATCATGATCCTTCCCCAGCATTTGATAATAATAACTCCTAGTCAGCCTCCCTTTGACTTCGCTTCCTTACCTCCTTGACTCTTCCAGTAATTACTTATTGAGAGCCTCATGAGACATCTTTTCTGTGCCACTTCTCTTCTTTGTGCACCCCCCGCTATTCAAAGGCCCGGACTGGACGACTGGACGACCTGCGACGCCGAGCCTCCATCCTTTCATTTCCGCGACCCCAGGTTCAGCTTCGTTTCAGGCCTCAATGCGTTAACTTCGACCCAGAAGAACATTTCCAATTCCTTCGATTCATGCCTTGATAATGTCGACCACCACGACCACGACTGTGACGGCTACGACGCTCGTGGGAATGCTTCCGACCATGACGAGCGCTACCCCCAATATTCTAGGGAAGAATTGTCCAACATGTGGCCAGGATGGGTACATGTCGCAGGACCAATTAGTCGAGAGCGCCCGGAAGCGGGTGAAGGAGTTGGAGGGTCAGGTCGAGCTGTTGAACGCGCACGCTGCACAGATGGGTAAGCGCGGTTGCAACGAACAAGGCAATTACCTGACGATGTTGCTAATCTGGTTTACGTCTACAGCTGCACAACTGGCCGAGTACGAAAATGAAGTGCGCCGTCTCCGATCGCAAACCAACACGCACACCCCCAGGACGGGCTCCGCATCGTCCACATCATCTGCGCCCTCGAATGATAGCTCGCCGCCGCAGGCCCAGCAACAAAGTCGCCTATCGTCGCTGACGTCGCTTCTTCCTTACCGTCGTCCTAGCACCGCATCCACGACCCAGACCATGACCCAGCCAGCACAACCGACCCCTTCTCCCGAACAGGTTACGACAGAGCTTCAGACTGCGCTCGAGCGAGAACAGAACTTGCGCAAGGCGGCGGAGAGCCAGCTCTCCCAGGCCAGTTCGGAGCTGGAGGAACTGACGGCGCAGCTGTTCAGTCAAGCGAACGAGATGGTTGCGCAAGAGCGCAAGGCGCGGGCGAAATTGGAAGAGAGGGTGGCGGTGCTCGAACGCCGGGATGTCGAGAAGAGGAAACGCCTTGACAGACTGGAAAAGGCGATGGAGCGCGTCGAGCGGCTTCGAGCATTGGTCGGGTAGTCCACAGATGTATAGACTTTTTCCTTTTCCCTTCTCTTTTTTGCTTCGCTTTGGATCATTATACCCCCTGTTTTGGTTCCGGCGGACGACTCCTGCTTTGGATTGTTTTGACACGATATGGCTTCATGAATGGCCATGAGCTATGGGCCCATGAGGACCACGACCAGCATTGTTATGACAGGAAGGCGTTTTTGGATAGCATTTACTCTGTTGTTATAGCTGATGCTTCAGCAATCTACACCAGTTGATCACTGCATGCTAGACTACTGTGCAAATAGTACAATATGACACTAATGACCTCCTTCCCTCAAATTTAATACCTCCAGTGACTCATTAGATAGCACGGTTTGCCCCCGCGCAACAGTCTGGGTTGTCATGGTTTAGGCTAAACGCTGTATGCTTCACCGGGTCGTTTCCACTTTCCACTCCCCACCCCGCCCAGCGCAGGATCTCACAGGTGGGAGCGCCAATGAAATGCCGGCAGAAGCATGGCAGCTGGATGCTGCATAACCGGATTTCTAATCTTATTCCAAGGTATATAAAGTCGTGCTTCTGTGCAGTCTCGATTGTCAATACTACTGTCTGTGTATCTGTTGCATTTGAACCATCGATATGTCTGTCGGAGTGGCTATCATTGGAAGCGGTATGTCCACCATCTATACTCGTACAACAGCCATTAATCTAAAACTGACAAAATCACAGGCATCTTCGCTCGCGAAGAGCATCTGGTACGCCAGCCCAATTTTGTCATTTGACCTGACTACCCTGACACCAGTCATAGCCTGCAGTCCAAGCAGCAAAGGAGTTCCAGCTGAAAGCCATCTATTCCCGCTCCCTCAAATCAGCCCGGGACCTCGCAAACGGGACTACGGGCGTTGACCTCTACTCCGAGGACTCTGGCCCTGGAAAGGGTTACGCAGATTTGCTCGCCCGCGAGGACATCGCGGCGGTTGTTATCGCGTGCGTCTGGTTTCTACCCCCTCGAGCAATCAAGACTCACTGGCTAATCAACCTCCGCGCAGTCTCCCCATCCTGGTCCAGCCGGATTTCATCCGCAAGGCCCTGACAGCAGGAAAGCATGTGCTGTCCGAGAAACCGATTGCCAAGGACGTTGCCACGGCGCGGGACCTGCTGCAATGGTACCATGCCAACATCGACACCAGCAAGATCCTCTGGGCCGTCGCAGAGAACTTTCGGTACATGACCAAGTTCCTGCGCACGGCGGAGGAAGTGCAGAAGCTGGGGCGGGTCAAGAATTTCCGGGTGAATTCTCACGCGCTGATCTCCACGGACTCGAAGTATTTTAGTAAGTTATATCCATTTTGCTATATCTTTTTGTCTATTGCGTGATCTAACGAAGCAGAAACCGCATGGCGCCAAACCCCGGGATACCAGGGTGGATTCATCCTCGACGGCGGTGTCCATATTATAGCAGCTCTGCGATTGATTCTCGGGTCGAGCGATCCCGTCGCTACGATATCCGCACAGTCCTGTCTCCAGCAGCAGCATCTCGCTCCCCTGGACACGGTGGACGCGGTGATGAAGACCAGATCTGGCGCTACGGGTGTGCTGTCCTTGTCGTACGGATCAGCATTTGATGACTCGGTTTTCGAGTTTGACTGCGAGGGGGGCGTGGTCGCTTTAAACTTTGACACCCTCTCAATTAAAGGCGAGAGCAATGAGCTCGCCTTTGATGGACGAGGTGTTAGCCGTGAGGTCGCTGTATTTGCTACGACGATTGCCAGCGGTGGTTCCATCGATAAGCGACAGAGTCCAGAAGAGGCGCTGGCTGATTTGGAGATTATGGAGAAGATGTTGACGAGTGGCGAGAGAGACGGCGAGAGACAGGGCGTGGAGTTACAAGTGTAGATACTCTTACAGAGCTTCATGACAATTAATTCCCTATGATACAATAACTTCAATCTGATAGGTACATCCGTAAGTCTTGGCGAGGGTTAGCCGCGCAAGCCCTAAACACCCGTTCTCGCTTAGCGATCCACTAGCGTCCCCGCTGCACTCAGGCTCGCTCGCTCGGGCGGCCAAACCTCAGCGGAATTTTTGAGATTGAACTCGAATCGTCACGACAACTCTCGAGCGCCAGCCAGCGAGACCCAACGATACCGACAAGGTATGTTCATTCTGCATTTTTATCATTTGATGCATTGAGATTGTACTGACAGTTTCAAGATGGTCCTCGCAAAGAAGCACGTCCCCATCGTCAAGAAGCGTATGTTCTAGCTCCCTCTGCCAGCCTTTCCCTGCCTCAAGCACACGCACAAATTTCGATTCTGGAGAGAAATAAGGATGGACGTTTTGATTTGGATGTGATGGAAGAGATGGTCTAGTGGAAGAGAGATGGAATCAGCGACCGAATCAAGAGAATCAAGACCTTTCGTTGCGAGCGTTGCATGAATTGAGAATTCAGACACGAGAATATGGAATATCAGGAGGACTGACAGGATGTGAACAGGCACCAAGCGCTTCTTCCGCCACCAGTCCGACCGCTTCAAGTGCGTGCCGGAGTCATGGCGCAAGCCCAAGGGTATCGACAACCGTGTCCGCAGACGCTTCAAGGGCAACATCCCCATGCCTTCCGTACGTTCAGTTCCTCGACCCTAGCCGCATCAGATTCGATCATCTCGACGAGACAAATCTGGAATCCCTGTGGCCTACCTTTACGAGCTGGCTTGCTGATATTTCTGGACTAGATCGGTTACGGTAGCAACAAGAAGACCAAGCACATGATGCCCTCCGGCCACAAGGCTTTCCTCGTCCACAACCCCAAGGACGTCGAGCTGCTCCTCATGCACAACCGCACCTACGCCGCTGAGTACGTTTCCTCCCGTCCCAGCTACGAATAGAATATACTGATTGATGGAATAGGATCGCCTCCGCCGTCTCCTCCCGCAAGCGTGTCGACATCATTGCCAAGGCTAAGGCGCTCGGCGTCAAGGTCACCAACCCCAAGGGCCGTGTCACCGTTGAGGCGTAAATGGTGGGATAGGCATGATGAATTAATAGAACGAAAAAATTTGACCCTAGCTTCTTACCGCTTACAAATATACCATGAAGGGGGGCCGGATGGTGGACGTCCTTTTTATTTTCCTCCTCTGTCCTCATCCTCGTCCTTGTGGCTGAGTGTCCGTGGCCGTGGCCGTGTCCGTTTCCTCTGGCGGGTGCGGAAAAGGGTGTCGATTGTCGGTTCCATGTATGGTCGTGCAATCCTCGTGGCAATGACGATTCAAGATATGTGCATCATGCATGCGTGCTTTCTGTAGGATGTATTGTGTACGGGCATGGTTATGGCAAATGTAGATCTCGTCAAGCCATGCATGACTTTCCCGACCAGTACAGTATGCGTAGTTGTACATCATGTCAATAGATATAGTAGAACTCGTATCATTATGCGTCTATAGCTAAAATCATGGTCTATGTATTATGCTCCTCTTGAAACTCCTGCTGCCGAGCAGCAGAGATATCTACAAGCCCGACACCCCTCACCAGAACGGGATTCTCCCGCTGCTCAGAACCCTCGACAACCATCCCCTCAGGAATCGGCGTCTGGCCGATAACAATCTCCTCGTCATCCGGGACAGGCACCCAGTCCGGCGCCTCACGCGGCCCATCCAGCCCCTTGGGCGGCATAGCCCACGAGGGCATCTTGCTGCGATACTTCCACTGGCCCTCCAGATCAGAGTACGCAACAGCATGCAGGAAGATGCCGAGCTCATGGACGCCCGGGTCGGTGTAGAGCTCCGTGCCGCAGACCTCGCAGACCTCGCCGGAGAGGCGCTCGCCCTTGCGCTTGTGGTAGTCGTGCACGGCGGCCTCGTGCTCGCGCGACATGATCTCTTCGACGACGGAGGGGTGCGTGCCCGGCGGCACGGGCGGCACGGTCGTCAGGTGCGTGCGGTACGTTGTTGTATCCGCTACTTCTGTCTTGCCCATCTCTGAGAGCCGGTCCATGATCTCTTCGTCGCGCTCGGCCGTCGCCTCGTTGCGGCCGAGGTCGGGCCCGAACACCCGCCGGTTGGAGTAGATCGGGTCGTTGGTGATCGGGTGGCCCAGGAACTGCAGGTGCACGCGGATCTGGTGCGTTCGCCCCGTCAGCGGGAGGCAGTGCACGATGCTGTAGCCTTCGGATTCGTTGGCGAGGAGCGGCGGCGGCGTCGCGGGCCGGTCGCCGCTGGCTGTCACTTCGTTCTCGTCGGGTTCTGGGGCGGGCGAGGCTGGCGGGTAGTATGCCAGCCGGCGGAACTTGGTCTTTGCGTCCTTGCCGGTGGCGCGCACGCGGTTGAGGCCCAGCTTGGGACTAACGGACATGATGGGCTGGTCGCAGACTACCACGCCGTCTGGGAAGCGGCCCTTGACGCGCGCGATGTACTCCTTCTGCACGGTGCGCTGCTTCAGCTTGATGGTGATGGCGTCCGCGGCCTTGGGGTGCTTCGCGATGAACATCACCCCGGAGGTCAGGCGGTCCAGGCGATTGCACGGCCGTGGGACGAACTCCTGCCCGCGCTGCGAGCGCAGGATCTCCACGATTGAGTTATAGTGGTAACGGCCGGCGGCGTGGACGGGGACGCCTGCGGGCTTGTCGATCACAAGGATATCATTGTCCTCGTGGATGATTCCAATCTCGTGGCCGGTGACGGGGGGTTCATGGCGGTGGAGGGTATGCGAGATGATTTCGCCGTTCTTGATCACGGTGTCGGGGGCGGCCTTTTTGCCGTTGACGGTGACCTTGCCATCAGAAAGGGCTTGTACCTGCATTGCATTAGCGGCAGCGTTCAATCTTATTCACAGTCTGGAGACCCACGTAGTACTCGGCCGGCCGATCTCTGAACTCGGACGTGAAAATTTCCTGCAGCTGCCGACCCCGCCATCGCTCCTTGCAGTAGGTGTTGTATGTGTAGTAGTAGGGTTTGACCCTGCGCAGCCCGCCTTCAAAGTAGTATGGGATCGGCCATGGATCGCATGGAGTCACGGCGACTTTCGGGGGCTCTTCGACGGGGTCCGGAGGAGGGACTTTGAGGGTTGTGTCGACGGGAACGACAGCCATGCTGGACGCAGGTATCCTGCCTCGTCGCAGCAGATATACAGTAATGCGAGGAGATGGAGCCAGGGGTGATATCCAGGGATCCCGTAATTGTGTGCGTTTGTGTACGGTTGTGTCCTGGTGAAGGCGAAAATTAGCCACCGAAAAAAATATCAAAAAATAAATTAGTGTTGCGGGGAAACCAGATCGAGAGGTACAGACTGTCAACAACACAGACAACAATAGTTATATACTGTCCGATACCTATAATATCTATAAACAGTCCAATCCGATATATTTACCTATCTAGAATACCCATATTCAATTCAGTGGCGCAACATCTTAGCTGTCAATCATCGCTATTGTCGCGATGTCATCCCCGCCTCAGGCACAACTGCATAACCAATTCATATTACTAATAGTGCATAAATTATGCAGCCAATCAAATGTGCCTGCATTTCAACCTCGGCTCCTTGGTGCCTGAGGTCTCCGATCTCAACATCAACATGAACATCAGAGGAATACAGCAACAGCACTTCAACTACCTCTCAATAAGAAACCAGAAGTACTTTCCATTGATAAAATTGTACTGGAAGCGAACTTTTCCGATTTGAATTTCGATTGGCGACAGCCAAGCTGACGAACAACATCGTGATCGCCAGTTATATATAGCTCCACCCGCATCAAGTAACCGCCTTCACTATAACCTCCTACCTCCCACCACAAACAAAATGTCCCCCAAAGAGGAACTAGAAGCCAAAAAGCGCCGCATGCGAAGCGACTACGTCTTCCACCAGGAATACCGCACCCGATGGCACGCACTCATTCCCCCCGCTAACCAATCACCACTAACGAAAGACAGGTTCGACAACGACATGTACGCCCACCTCAACAACACCGTCTACGCCATGCTCTTCGACTCCATCGTGAATAGCTGGCTTATCGCCGAGTGCGGGATGGATCCGTTTAACAGGAACAAGTCCACCACCAGCACCACCGCCGGCAGCAGCGACAGTGACAGCGCTGTCTCGCAGCAAGTCGGGATCATGGTCAACTCGTACTGCGACTATTTCGCCTCAGTATCGTATCCGGATGTACTGGATCTGGGGCTGCGGGTTGCGAGGCTGGGGTCGTCGAGCGTGACGTATGAGGTTGGGGTGTTTCGGCGGGGGGAGGAGGATGTTAAGGTTGTTGGGGGGTACACGCATGTGTTTTGTGCGCGGGAGACGATGAGGCCGGCGGAGGGGGGAATGGAGGAGAGGGTTCGGCGGGGGTTGGAGAGGTTGGTTGTTAGGGAGGGGGCGAAGTTGTGATTATTCATTTTATTAGTGCTTGAGGGAAGTATCATGTGGTGAGCTGATGATAGACCATCTGATCCTACAGGAAATGGAATAGAAATCACACTGAGACACTGGCGATGGTGTGTTTCGTCAATAGCTACTGATTTCCCAAGGTAGGTTTGATTCATATGGACCGAGAATTTTGTGTTCCATTACTCTGCTGATAGCAGTGTAGCAATTAATGTAAATCCAACATGAGATATCAAGATCACTGTTTCATAGATCATGGACGAAGCACAAATAGCAAGAAAGTCTATCTCTTTAACCCAAACCGAACGCCATCGCTAATCAACCATTGCCGATATACGCTTTCGTCCGATAATTGTATCAGCAAGTCATTTGCGATGGAAAGAATAACAAAATATAAAGACACCCGCTGAAACGCTATTGGCGATAATTATGAGATAAGGTAGTCGTCAGAGTAAGGAGGTTGAAACGAGTTGAAGAGTGATGGATGATGAGATGATGATTCAAGGTGCAGAGGCTAACCCATCTTGGTGGGGACGATGCTGCTGCATCGGGAGACGTTGAGGGAGCTTTCTGGCGACCGGACGCGCTGCATCGTCTTGGTGCCATGGTCGTAGTGCCACTTTTGATACGGGCCCGGAATGAACTTTCCTTTGGCGTCCCATCCGGCGACCCAGGTGTAGCCATCGTCAAGAAGGAAGAAGAGCAGTCTTTCCGGCTTCGCGCCTTCGTGCAGAGTCACCGACTGCCAGCGACATCTGTCTTCCATTTCGTGCTCAAAGATGTATCGATGGAGGATGCGGCAGTAGACAAGTGGGACAGGGACTTTCTCCTCGTATTCGCTGTCGTCCTTGTGGACGAGATGCCATCCCAGACCCGGGATGTACTTGTAGATACCAGGAACAGGGCTTTCCCAATGTTCCTCTCGGTAAATAGTTCCTTGAATGCGCTCGCCCCGTTGGAACCAGTAAGTCGGGCAGAACACTGCGCGAAGGCAGATGAAGAGATTCGGCGCCATAGTATAAGATATTGGATGACGAACAGAGAAGAGGACGGATTAGGTGAAAACGGAGAAGAAGAGTAGAAATTCAAATGAAGCGCTCAGTTGCAGAACTTTTTCGATCGAAAATGAGACAGGGAAAACAGCGAGATCATAAATCGATATCCATCGTGACGGTCGTACTTCGAAAAACTTCGTAGTGGCTGGAAGGAGATGAACAGGGATAGACGGTGATGCTGTCACTGGCGCGACACCAATGTCTGAGGATCAAGACCCTGATGATTGAGAATGCGAGTGGGATTCGTCCAAGCGATCTCGACCGCTTGTTACTTGGCTGCTTCTGAGAGCAGGGTCAGGGTCAGGATCAGGAGCAACGACAAGGCGCTGGCTGCAATGATGCGGTGTGTATCACAGCCCAGGAGGCGTGACAACGAACGGAGCTCGAATCTCCTGAAAATATCCTGGACAGAAACAAGAACAGGAACGCAGTGATAGTCTGATAGAAGGTAGCTTTAGAGAACGCCAATCGAGACCCGAATGTGATAGAGAGCAGCGCAGCAGTCACCCTGTGTTACAGCTCGTCAAGAGCGCATGGGGTAAATCTCGACTCTGACTGGACGATAAGGAGAACAGACATTATGCAAGACGAGAAATCGAGGTATTAGAAGGAGTGTTAAGGTCAAACGCCTTTAAATGAAGATCGTTGTGTGCGCGTTCGCACAATTCGAGGCGGTCTGAGGTCAGCCCCCCGACGGCGTAAAAAAATTTGATAGTCAGGATCACTGCGCTCCTAAACAGGATACTCCACGAACCAGACTAGAAGGACTAGACCTCATCAAAGAACGGATCTGTCGTGATAGCTTTGCAACAGTCCCATAATTCCGGCGACACTGACCAACGAAATGCTGTGCCGGTTGAGCTGCAAAGGGGAAACTCTGCGCCGCGGGAAAGCCGAGACCCACACGAGCAGTTGTATTTTTATCGTGCGCCTTTTTTTGCCTATTTTTTCCCTCTTGAAATTCAACTCTATATCCCGCTCATCGTCATAGCTGAGTCAATTAATTCGACTTTTTTTTTTTCTCTCTCAGGACCAGGTGTGGCACCCTCGCTAGTTCCCCGGGGGTCCGGGAGATGCGCTTTTTGCTTTTTCCTTCCGTAGTCGTGGGTTTAGCATGTTCCTGCAACTGCAAGCTAATGGAATTAGCCGTTAGAACTTAGCAGGCTGTCGGGAAATGTCGTAAAGCAGCTGAGGAGTGAGGAGTGAGGAGTGAGGAGTGAGGAGTGAGGAGTGAGGAGTGAGCACTCAAAAAAGAGTAATCAAGCCATCTTGGTAAAGACTGGGCATTATCAATTGCTATCCACTTCGAGACAGGAATCTTGATGCCTGATCATGCAGTTTCCATCTTCGTAGTACTCGGTTTTCTTCCGGGAAGGGATATCCTCCGCTGATACTCCATCTCGGAGGCCTTGAAAGCATTGCATCAACTCAATCAACTGGGGTTTCAGGTTTTCCGTCCCGGCACGACCTTTGAGAAGTCAAAGCCCGTCACCGATGACAAGAACAGACATGGTCGCGTTGATCAATTTTGAATCCAGTCTGGACGGAATTTTTATTCTTCAGATAGAGGAAAGCCATCATCATTTGCATGAGACGCATGATCGATGGAGATAGAGTTGCTCCGAGTTCAGTAAAATATGATGGAGGGTCGTCCTCCCATTGACGTGTCAAAAGTACCACATGTTGTCCGCGTGTCTTCCAATCGCCGTTCATCGAGTTCTTGAAAGCTGAACAAATCATGAGGCATTACTACGGCCTTTGACTTTCATAAGAAGAAAGGTCAATATAGTGTTCAGAGGGAGAAACCAGATCTCTTATTTTGTGGATCCCCGATCTGCGTTCTGCAGCTCGACTACCAGCAGCTGTCATATCAACCAATCAGATCACCACGAGGAACTCAGAGATCTTCACTCATGCACGTTTGCTCTGATATTTAAACGGCTGGTTGCACTATCTGGATCCTTCTTCCTATTCTGATATTATTCCTTCAGCCACTTCCAGTTCTCTCATGAGAGAGGCCTGGACCTCGAATCCCAGGACGCCAAGACCAATGATTTCCCCAGTGATGCAGCAATCCGGGCCTCCGAGGATGAACGCGATTGACGCAATCAATAATGTTCATGATCATTTGAAGGAGCCAGGACCGCCAGAGGTCGCCTGGCGCATGAGGGCATAAGAAGGACACTGTCCTCAAGGAGCCCGGGTTGTGAATCGATTTCTCAACCATATGAGCTCAACTAGATCCTTCCTCGCTGTTTAAGATACTCTTCTTGAATGATACTATTCTTGAAGCATGCGCGACGTCCTGACCGCGAGTTGAATCTCTCCAGAGCTTGGTACTTGTGGGTAATCACCTCAGGATCACTGATGCTATCTAGTGCTCGTTAGCTTCGCCACTAGCATGTCAGATACTTTTGCAGAAGCCTTCTAGAAACTCGCACTAGCGTATAAGTGAATGCTTTTCTGCACCTCCCATTTTATTGCTGACGGTTGCCGCTGCTCCTGTAAGAGGCCTAAAGGCAGCATATGAAAGCTCCTTAATGAAAGATCACATGATCATACCTGAGTCGTATCATTTGTTATTTACTCTTCAGGGATGTCAACTGGACTCCAATTGCCGTAAATATGAGATCCTCTCAAGTTCTTTTTCTCAGACACGCAATTTAACGACGCGAACTATCACCCCGTGGAACACGAATCACAATTTATTCGAATACACTTCTGGCCGGTTCCTGTGAGCCTACCTGTGGTTGTCACGACAGCCACGTTACTGATACCATGTAGCACCTAGATTCAACGAGGACATTCGGCGGACCGAACGTCACCTGCAATTCAACGTGGATGCCTTCGTCAGCGCTCTGTGCTGTGCCACCAAGCGGCCTGTCAATGACCTGGCCTGCATATCAAAGCTAGCCGAAGGGTGCTTCAACCGCGTGCTTTAAGCTACCTTCAACGATGGGTATGAGGTAATTGTCAGAATTCCGTACAGAATAACCGTTCCCAGACGTCTTGCTACATCGAGTGAGGCGGCTACGCTGGATCTGCTTCGGCGTAATGGTGTTCCAGTGCCAAAGGTGCTTGCGTATTCCGCGGATGAATCCAGTCCTGTTGGTGCAGAGTACATTATGCTCGAGAAGCTCGAGGAGTACACTTGAGCGAACGATGGTTCTCTATTAATAATAAAAGCAGAGCGAAAGTAATGAAACGCATTGTGGAGGTGGAGAAACGATTCAAGACGATCCCTTTTTCTGCGAGTGGAAATTTGTTTTACCGCAAGGACCTAGGAGAGTCGCAATCGTTTGTGCCAAACCCTGGACAATCCGATCAGATTGTCCTTGGTCCTACTGTGCAATATGCGTGGTGATACCGGGAGCGCAGTCCATCGGATGTTCACCGTGGCCCTTGTATGTATCGTACCTGGCACATTCTGGCATACAATACACTGATCAAAGACCAGGGAAAACCTATCTCGCGTGTTTGGCGGCTCCTGCAAAACGTGAAATAGCGTTCTGTCAACAATATGGCAAACCTCGGCTTCACGTCGAACGTTACGTATGGGAGCTGCGTCAGTTCATAGCAATGTCGGCAGCCTTTCACCCTCGTCTCCTCTCCGACTACTTAAAGCTAGCGCCTTATCTGGACGTTCCGTCAGATCATCATCCTGGCGCAGCCGGTGCTTCGTCCAGATTTTTCACCGAATAATATATTGGTCAAGTCCTCCAACGACATCGTAGGAGACATTGACTGGCAACCATGCCGTGGTCCTACCTCTATGCCTATGCGCTGGTATACCAGATCACTCCCAAAACTGGGGTGATCTGATATCAGAACCCCGCGTTACCAATACTCATGAGCCAGTTTTGGCAAACTTGCATGATCGCATATCTCAGAGATTGAAAGTCGTCTTCCCAAGGAGCCCCCGCACGGTTGAAAAGCTTTGTCCGGAGCATCGAATTCTCGTCCCCCAGAGCGTCAAAGTGATCCGGCATCTGGCGCATGGTGAGTGCGGCATAGTAGAAATGGACAAGGCGTCTTTGCACCGTCCCTTTAGTCAGCTCTTGCTCACTTCGGTCAAGAGACTCGAGAGCCTCTGCTAGTTGGGTTTCTGGCTTTGCAAGGGCCCGGCTCAACCAGTGGACTGTCCAGTGCGCTTCTTGGAAGAAGAGATGTTGCAATGCATGAAAGATCATGATCAGGAGCAGGAAAAGCTGCTGCAGCTTGCGGAAATGAGAGAACCCATAGGTACTGATGCCGTGGGTTGGGTCTTTGATTCACTGTGATACCCAATGCAACATGGCCCATCAGAGAGACAATCCCGGCAGATTATCCAAGCCAACATCACCGTCATCCGCTCCATATCCTGTTGCACCGTTTTCATCTCCGTTGGCTGCGTTATCCTCAGGGACTTTCTCTGCGACCTCCTTGATGTAATCGTCCGGGTCCCAAGCCAATGGCCGAGTATTCATCTCTTCGAGCTTTATCGCCACAAATCTTTCGATATCAGCTCTGTCTTCCGGCTCCAAGAAATCAAGTCTCTGCTTCCAAACATCGTCTATGGGAGAAGAGGTCGGCCCAAAGAATCGCTGATCAATCTTGTGCCAGTATATCAAGTCAAAGGCAAAGTTATCCCTGGCCGCATACGCAATCCAGAAGTCTCCACTCTCCCAGCTCTCTTGCATCGGACCAGAAAGCCGCTGGCTACTCTTTAGCCAGCCCTGTTCAATTGCCTTGTCCTCTTGGTACCTCATCGCGCCGAGAAAGGTTTGAAGGCGCCGGTCATACTCGCTGCACCAATCATCAAGACCTTGGCGCCAGTAATCAGGTTTTTCAATCAAAAGCCACCACGGGGGCGCAAAGGAGAATTCGACTGGGGCGGCATACGCGAATTCCCAGTCTACAACTCCGACGATTCTCAGCTCTTCGTTCAGGAGGATGTTAGCTGGGCGCAAGTCATCGCACCAAAGTTTGAACGTGCCTTTGTCAAAGGATGCCACCGCTCTGTTAATCGATGTTCTCTGGCGAGTTTGCGCAAAAGATATCGAGCAACAAGCTTGCGCCGACAGTCTTCGGCTGAGTCGATTGCGTCATTGCGCTGGTTGATGAGGTGAGCGATGTGCAGCTCTGCTAGGGCTTCAAAGTATGAGGACTTGGTGTCGAATGTCGCGGTTGGCAATTTCGATTGGGGCAAGGATCCCAGTTGAACCAGAGCATTCATAGGCATTGATAAAGGTCTACGTGTCACCTCCCAGGTGAAATCGTCCACCTGGTCTAGTGACCCTATCTGGGGCAGAGATGGTTCAGAAAGCCGAAGCAAAATTCTTGCAGCCTCTCCGTACCAAAGCCTCTAATTTTGCCTCACTGATATACGGGTCCAGAATTCCACGGTCTTCCTTTGGGCACCCAGGCGTGTTAAGAGCATCATACATGCTTGTATCATGGTCAATATAGTCCATAATAATAAACGGACCTAATCCCAGCGGACTCTCCTTCCTCATCCCCCAGTAGTGGACAAAAGGAACGGGGATGGAAGTCTGATCGTGGATGTATCGCATAATAGCGACTTCATTCCGGACTTTCTCTTCAGGAAACATGGTGGCACCTGGCTGGGGGAAGCGCATGACGGCAGCTTTTGCATGCTTGTACTTCATCTGGAAACAGACGTTGTATGCGCCTTTCCCCAGAAAGCTGAATTCGTCCGCATCGCCAGGACGGTGGTGTCTGAGCAAGAAATTACCAACTGGGCGTAGTACGTCGGGTTCAAGAAACTGGCGAACCCATCCATCGGCGACGGCTTCGCTTTTCTCCCAGGCGACGTCGTCGTAGTGCAGGCGTGGTTGCATGCTTGGGGAGCCTCAGGGTAGTATATCAGTTTAAGGACAGGGATAGGATGGATTGTTCCAACACTCCCAAAATGCATGCGTGGGTCAATAATGAGATCGTGGAGTGTGTAATTCAGGGGTGGAGATCCTCATACATGATACGTCGTACTGGGGCGCAACTAGACGAGTCCACTAATCAGAATCACGATCGACGCAGGGAAGATAGAAATAATCTCCTCCGTAAGGCGGAAACGGTGAGTAAATCGAGCCTTGCCTTGGCTAAGGGCACCGGTCATCTCCGGCGATCTGTCCGCCAAAAGTCAAGATTGCCGTATCCACAGCCACCAACACGACACAACTGTCGCATTCATCATACTCCGTCTGCCGGGGGAATTTCCAGTAGCTGGTACTATGGATATTATCGTCTGTTCAACCCGTCATGCGAGCCTCGCGGAGAGTCGCTGTCTCGCTTTCAACAGCCCTGTTCCCGTGTAGGCCATGGCTGAAGCCAACCTTGAGCAGCAACCTAACCTGCTAGCTCAAGCAGAGCAGATTGCTCTCAATTTTGACCTTAGTACTGAGCACGTCAAACAAGTGACGAGCCATTTCGTCCGCCAGTTGAGTGAGAATGACTGAAAGCCTTCCGGTGTATACGATGCTAACAGCTCCAGAGGACGGCCTCGTCAATCACCGGGTCTGGCAGTTACCCTCCTACGTGCGAAGCGTGCCCACAGGCAAGGAAAAGGGGCGGTTCCTGGCCGTTGATCTCGGCGGTAGCAATTGCAGGATATGTCTTGTCGACTTGCACGGCGACTCTACCTTTACCGTGACGCAGAGCAAGCACAGCGTCCCGCCAACTGTCATGGTTAACTGCAGCTATCGGCCTCTTTTCGATTTCCTTGCGCAGCGGATAGCGGAATTTCTCGATGAGCATCTCGACCCTGCCAGTCCGTCGCCGTACAGGCTAGGTTTCACGTTCAGTTTCACCTGCGAGCAGACGTCCCTCGCTGGCGGGCGTCTCATACACTGGGACAAAGGCTGGGATATCCCCGATGCGGTTGGTCGAGATCCCTGCGTCATGTTGCAAGAGGCTATTGATGTGCTGGGGTTACCGGTTGTGGTGACCGTTCTGGCAAATGATAGTGTTGGTACGCTCCTGACGAGAGCCTACAGCTCCGGCCAGCAGGCTTCGACCCTCGGTGCGGTCATCTTCGGGACGGGAACCAACGCCGCTTACGTCGAGAAGCTGTCTAATGTGCGTCGACTGGGTGTCAAGGCACGCGAGGATGAAATCATGGTGATGAATACGGAATGGGGCTGTCTCGACGACAAGATGGAAGTCTTACCGCGGACATCCTTCGACGACGCCCTCGACGCAGCGTCGGTCGATCCAGGCTCGCAGATGTTCGAAAAGAGGGTTTCGGCCCTGTACCTTGGGGAGCTACTCCGGCTGGTGATTGTTCAACTGCTGCAGACGGATGCGTTTGACATGAAGGTCGACAAGGCCTCAAAGGTCTTCCAGTTAGGCGGCGTTGATTGTCCCGTTCTGTCGGGGCTTGCCTTGATTGATCCCGACGATTTCGACGGCGCTAGGATATTTATCCAGGACACATTGTCTGCGGAAAATGTCAGCCAAGTCGATGTCCAGGCTATACGACTACTGGCCACGTCTATTGCGCGACGAGCAGCACGTCTAGCGGGCGCCTCTCTAGCAGCCATCATCATCCAAAGCGAGCGCCTTGACATTCAATACCACCGCTCAAGACAATCGACCTCAGCCCCTGTCGGTACGATCAACCGCTCCCAGCTTGTGACTCCCCGCTGGCGCCGATTCTTGGGCTGCATGGGAATGAGTTCACCAAGCAGTAAACCGCTACCATGGCATGCAGACCTCCAGACCTGTATGGACGACGACGACATCGTCGACATCGTCGACATCGGAGCGGACGGCTCGCTAATCGAATTCTACCCTGGCTTCGAGGCCGAGATGCGTGGTGCAATGCGGGATGTACCAGAAATTGGAGAGGCTGGTGAGCGAAGAATCCGTATAGGTCTTGCAAAGGACGGGTCCGGTGTTGGTGCTGCCTTGATGGCGCAGGCAGCGAGTCAGTGTGAGCAGGAAAGTAGAAGAATGGATTGAGTTTATTCAGGAGAACTATAGAGCACATCAGGAGTTTAGAATGAGCAAATTCATGATCTTATATACGGGCCTTGATCTACTATTGCTCTGATGCAGCTAGCTAATGAAACAAGATGCTGTTGTCTACTGTTTCAGAATGGACGGTAGTTCTGGCTATGTTTGGCAGATCCATCCAGGGGGAGACAAAGGCAAAGCATTTTCGAACTTATATACAATATCATACGTCAAACCACTCAGCCAAAAAGCTGTCCAGACAAACCGTCTCTAGCTAGTAGGGATGATAGCACAGAGGGTCGACACAGCATGGACACATCCGTTCTGTACCCTCATGTCAACCCATGCACTCTTTTGATTGTAGATATATTTATTAGCTCAGTCAGAGGTAATGTACAGACAGGCAAATTTACCTTTTCAAAGCGTGAGAGGTGTTCTAGCACGAAGACGTTCGCCATATCGGTAGAAAAGGAGAGGTCCGGGGACAAACGCAAGAGCAAGGAATCCCAGCAAGGTATTGCCCCAACCGTAGTTCAAAGCGTCGTACATGCCTGGCCCCGCCAGCGGCAGAAAGGTACTGAAAATGTAACGCAGGAGATTATTGGCACCGAGCGCAGAGGCAGCAGCCTGGGAACCAAAAACGTCGATCAGATAGAGTTGCGCGGGCATCTGTGTGGATTAGAAGGTTGCAATGTATAGGACAAAACCGTCGATTACGTACCATGACGAAAAAGGCTCCAAAGCCCATGAAAGCGGTGCCGACAATGGGTACCATCCAATGGACCTTATAGTAGGCAGTCCACCCGTATATGAAAAGGCCGAGGCTAACAAGCGGACTGAACCAGATCATAGGAAGTAACCGATTCTCGGGCCGGTGCTGTTGCACCCCATCAGCCTTCGATTGCGCTGAACGAAGGTGACTATTCAGGATGTTGAATATGAGCATGCTGGCGACAAGGGAGACTCCCAGACCAAGGTACACCAGCCCGGACACGGAAGTGCTGAATCCATACTGGCCCTCGAATACGCTGGTGAAGGTGGTAAATAGCAGGTACATCACTCCAAATACCAAGGCCACGTAAAGGGATATGACAAAGAGGATAGGCGACCGAAACAGGAGCACAGTAGGTCGAATAAGTACCTGGACGAGAACCTGGCGCGGGGAGAGGGGATTTCCGGCAAGCTTGGAACGGAGATGATGGTTTCCGGTGTCAGCGCGCAGACTGGCAGCTTTGCGCTCGAGGATGACCTTGGGATGTGTTTCGCTCATGACAACAAAAGCCGAAATACCACAGAATCCTCCCAAGATGGCTAGCAACCAGAAAGTCCAGCGCCAGCCTTTGCTTGCAGCGAGGAAGCCTCCGATAACAGGGCCAAGGACCTGAACGAGATCGGACTGGTTATTTGGAAGTCGAAAGGTGAATTAATGATACCACATACCGGTCCTGCAAGTGGCCCCATGCTAAACAAAGCCATCGCAACCGCTCTTTGCTCGATAGTGGTGATGTCTGCAATGGTTCCTCCGCCTAGAGCCATTGGGGTCCCGCCCGCACAACCTGATATGAATCGGAATACCAGAAATTGAGCGACATTCCGGCTCAGCGCATTACCAATAATGAAGGCGACGAAGATAATATTGGCAGCATGGTATACCGGCACGCGTCCGTACACCTCGCTGAGGGGAGACATGAACATGGGCCCAATAGCCAATCCAAGGACGTACAGAGTGATGGCAAGGGTGCTGACGGCGCTGGAAGTCATGCCCAAGTCTGCAGAGATACCACTAATTCCAGGTGCACACATTGTCGGAGCCATATTCCTACATCAAGGCGGACACTCAGACACAGCACCTCACCAGCTAGGGGGATAGGACTTACGTGGTAAGTGCTAGGAGGGAGATGATGACAATATGCGTCCATTTCTTGCGCTTCGACCAGTTTTTGGGATTGGTGGAATCGCTAGGACCGTCCCAGTCGACAAGATTGGCCTCCTCCAGCTCATTGTCAATGCCTTTCTCTAGCTGGTTCGTAGCCATGTCGCAGCTACACTCGGACTTGGACATAACGACAGGTCTGGACGCAATGTGTGTTAAGAGCACTTGCAAAGCATAGAAGTGACCTGCTAAGAAGAAGAATGAACAACTGAGTTATCTGCAAAACATGTTGACAGAGGCATTGCTGAATTTAAGAGACTGCCAAGACCATGTAAACAAAGTGCGAGTAGGGACGGAGATAGGAGATCCAATTCATTGGCAGCTGGCATGACGACCCATGATTAGAAATGGGTGATGCTATCCAGCCTCAGTATCCACACCGGAGGCAATTAGGAGAATCGGAGCTTTGGTCAGTCATGGTATAGATAGAATCATAGAATGATAGTGTCACCGGAGATTTGTATATACACGTGTCGATCATCCGCAGTGGGGCGTCGGATGGTCGGACGATCGGATCGGAGGATCGGGGGATCCATGATTGTAGTAACATAGTGATTTATCTCGAAAGCCATTCAGATTGGCCTCTTTATTTTGATTTCTGCGTTCAATGCTCGGTCTAGCTAGCCAGTGTGGAGATGGACATGATACAGGAGTATTCCACCTGTTTGGCTTGTCACGTGATCGCCGTTACTCTCGTTAGTCTTGCTCATCTCTTCCCCGGTCATCTGTCAACATCCACTCCTTGCGGCGGGAGAACCGTTGGATCATCATACTCTTTATGGCATTATCTTTGATAACACAGCAGCTAAAGCTTCGTAAATGCTAAATCGGCTTGCAGAGTGGCAAAAGGGTACCTAGACAATGCAAGTTGTCTGTAGCTGGCGCCAATGATGTCCACCAGGAACGACATGACCCCAATCACAGTCGGGACAGCCATGTCAACGCCAAATTCAAGACATTGCTCATTGGAATCGTCATTTGGAACACCTCAAGAGACCGATTTGGCTATGTCACGGCCGCTTCCAAATCCCAGTCGACGTCGAAATAAGCCTCAGCTGTCTTGTAACTCATGTCGACGTCGAAAGTAAGCGGCTTGTGTGATTTCTATTCGTTTAATTCTATGAAGTGAGGCTGAGTTTTCATGTTCCGCAGATCAAAATGTGACCGTCAAAGACCTTGCTCATTTTGCTCGGCTCGCGGTCAAATATGTACATACGCTGAAAATCTTCCAACGACGGGCTCGCCAAAGCCGTCTTTAACCGCTGTGCCTACTGTGCATGACCGGCTTGTACAGTTGGAGCGCTTGGTTACGTCCATGATGCCCAGGTCCTCGAATGAGAGACCCAATGCTAGTTCGTCTGCCGAGGTGGGTATGCCACCAGTGCCCGCAAGGATCACTCAGGCCGAAACTATGCCGACAGATACACCAGTTGATGGACAATCTGAGTGTGGAAGCATGCGTATTAGTGACTCAGAGCTTCGCTATGTTGGGGGCGAACACTGGGTTGCCATACTGGACGGTATCGCCGACCTGAAAGACCACCTGGACCGCGAAGAACAGCTGCGGCTAGCTCAGAGTTCCGACCGGGTTGAGGTTGAGCATGGGGTTGGCCATAGTAGTGAACCATTTGCAAGGTTGCGGTCCAATGAAGCATTCCTGCTGTATGGATGTCGCCGCGCGATGTCACGCGATGAAATACTCGCAGCAGTGCCTCCCAAAAACGCTGTCGATCGCTACATCTCTCGCTACTTCAACTATTTGGATCTTGTATCGTCTTGTAGGAACACTTCCATTCACTGCTTCCATGTCTAATTGCTCAATTTTCGCTGACGCGGTTCAGCCACGGTCCACGGACCGAGTTTTCTGCGCGAGGTGAGTAAACATGCTCTACACCCCAGCCACAACGATGCTATGCTGACAGGTACAGTACGAGGCATTCTGGGCCGATCCGTACGATGTCCCAATAATATGGGTCGGACTCCTTTTCGGTATGATCTCTCTCGCATGTCTAGCTTCTGACACGCCCGATGGGCCCGAGGCCGAGCAACAGTCCCTCCAGGTGAATCTGTACCGCGAGAAAATTGTGCAATGCCTAGTCATGGGCGAATATACAAAGTGCGGGCCATACGCCTTGGAAACGCTCATCAATTATGTCTATGTTGAATTCTGCATCCGTGCCGACGCCGACAAGGACATCTGGTTTCTGCTCGCCCTGGAAGTCAACCTCGCCCGGCGCATGGGTTACCACCGTGACCCAAGTCACTTCGCCAGCATTTCGCCTTTCCGGGGTGAGATGCGCCGGCGGCTATGGGCGACAGTGCTAATGAGTGATATTCTCATCTCCAACCAGATGGGCATGCCACGAATGATCTCTGACTGGCAGTATGATACTGCGGAACCGCGGAATCTCAATGATGCAGATTTCGACGAGCATACCGTAGAGTTGCCTCAACCGCGACCCGAAACTGAGCACACGACGGCCCTGGGTGTCATCGCGCGCAGGCGTATGTTGAAGGCGCTGGGCATCATTGCGGACCTCACAAGCGCAGTGCAGCCCTGCAGCTACGCAGAAGTGATGCGAGTAGATAGCCTCTTACATAAAGCGGCTGCGAGCATTCCGCCGCCCCTGCAGATGAAGCCCATGGCAGCTAGCGTGACGGACTCTCCACAGGTCATTCTGGCCAGGCTGTTCATCAGGCATATGTTTTACAAAGGACAGGTCATGCTGCATCGGCGATTTCTTTACATGCGGTCCCCATCTCAGAACGATGATATTTTTGAGTATTCCCGGAAGGCGTGTCTCGATGCTTCGTTGGAATCTCTTGCGATTCAGCACGTACTCGACGAGGAAACCTGTCCCGGAGGCCAGCTTCACACGATGCGCTGGCGAGTCACCTCTATAATGAACCACCAATTTCTCACGGCCACCATGATCCTGTGCTCCTTATTGTATCACGAGCAGACACTACAGCGGGAAGATGAGATCCGCGGTGCGCTGCAGAGAGCGAGGACAATATGGATGCGCAGGTCCTCGACTTCTAAAGAAGCAAAGAAGGCCGCTGAAACCATCAATATCGTGCTTTCCAGAACTGGAAAAGGTCAGGAAGGGGGTGGTCGGCCTAAAGAAGACGCCAGCAAAGAGGCTGGGGATCTAAGCGCTCAAAGGAATCCTCCAATGATGCAAGACACATTTTTCGGCATTAGTTTTGGCGGGGAGAAGGGGCTACCGGATAGCAATGGCTTCTATGAGCGTGCGTCTCCGATTGACACACCTAAATAGATTGAACTGACCGTACCATAGCTGACTCATTCATCATGCCTGAATTCCTGGGTACTTTCCTGCCACCTGATCTGCAGGGTCAAGATCTGAGCTTCAGCGTCAACAGTCCTAGGCTACTCTGGGACGAATTGATGACAGCGAATTAGCCCGGGTCGTGATCAGTGATGCTAAGTCCTATCACCGCATTATCAAAGTCGCCTCGGCGTATCGACACGCTATACGTCCCGGCGGGTATGAGATCTTAACTTTGTACAGCACATCATGCCAGCGGTGCGGCTGCTGTCTGCCCCTGCGAACATGCGGATTTGAAGGAATGGCCCCTTCCTCGTCTGCGTAGGGAGGCACGACTTCATTTAGGCGGCACATCAACCGTGACCACTTGACTCTTGCCAGGAACGAGCAGATAAAGAAACCCTCCGGCACAGACGCAGCATCTCGTTCGGCTGTCTTAAGGAGCGGAGCTTTCCGAAGCACGGAGAGTAAGCGGCTCGGGCATAGTCTCTCGATAGGAAGAAAGGCGGAGAGAAAAATTCGCGCACGACTACGATTGCATTACTCTATTAAGTGCGAAAAGTTGGGACCTAGATCTCGATGGAGTGTCCGCACTCATGGTTTCGGGCATAATCAAAACGCGGAATTAAGTAAAATGACGAGGAAAAATCCATCGCCCCCTAATTCATATTCGTGAGGAAGTCGTACGAGGTATCCCCTAAACATTGAAACACACTCAGTGATTGTGTCTGGGCTCCTCGAATCGCTGGGCTATTCTTTGATACTTGACTGCCTCGCGGAGAACCATCCCCTCACTCAGTTGCGTCGCTTCCCTCCTGAATAGATCCTGCCAGGGAGTCTGGCTCTCAGGAACTGCGTAACCGCCATTGGCCTCCAGCTCCTTCTTTCGTTTCTCCAGTGCCTCCGGTGGTACAAGGATGTCAACGCGCCGTTTGTTAAGATCAACACGGAGTCTGTCTCCATCTCGAAGGAGAGCCAGATTGCCACCAGCCGCGGCTTCAGGAGAGGCATTCAGAATCGAGGGCGAGCCAGACGTGCCAGACTGTCGACCATCGCCGATACACGGAAGCGAATGGACACCCTGCCGTAGAAGGCGTCCAGGAGGATGCATATTGACGACTTCAGCCGCGCCCGGATATCCCAGGGGTCCTGCACCGCGCATGATGAGGATAGTCCTATCGTCGATAGGTGTATTGGGATCTTCGAGGCGATGGTGGTAATCCTCGGGCCCGTCAAAGACGATCACCGCGCCTTCGAACGCGTTCGGATCGTCCGGGTTCTCGAGGAATTTCTGTCTGAACTCCGTGGATATCACGCATGTTTTCATGATGGCAGAGTTGAACAGGGTGCCTTGGAGGTGTAAGAAGCCGGCGTCTTTCATGAGTGGGTCGTCGTAGGCTCTGATCATGCGGCGGTCCCATGTGTGCTTTCCTTGGACGTTTTCCTTCACGGTGCGACCATTGCACGTTAGGATGTCGGCGTGTAGTTTGCCCGCGTCGAGCAGCTCGGCCATGACAGCTGGCAAGCCGCCGGCGCGGTAGTATTCTTCGCCCAATAGCTCTCCTGCTGGCTGCATGTTCACCAACAGAGGGATGTGGAATCCCAGTCGATCCCAGTCATCTAGCGAAAGATCTACACCAATATGCTTTGCGATGGCACCAATATGGATTGGAGCGTTGGTGCTGCCACCGATGGCGGTGTTCACGACGATGGCATTTTCAAAGGCCTCACGAGTCATGATATCGCTAGGTTTACGATCGGCATGCACCATCTCAACGATCTGTAAGCCTGTATCATAGGCACATTGTCCTCGTTCGCGGTATGGGGCAGGAATGGCCGCGGATCCGGGCAACGCCATCCCCAGGGCCTCGGCAAGTGCGTTCATGGTCGAGGCGGTTCCCATTGTGTTGCAGTGTCCTACGGATGGTGCTCTGCAAAGAGTCAGAATACGTGAGTCATCTGAGTGAGGTTGGGACATACCCTCGGGACACGTAATCGATGAACTCCTCTCTGCTGATCTCGCCGGCGGCATACTTTTCTCTGCCTTTCCATACCACCATACCTGAGCCGGCGAGCTCGTTCTTCATATAGCCATTGAGCATGGGACCGACATTGAGACATATTGCGGGAATGTTCTGTAGAAGGTGTCAGAAACCGTTCGTCACCAGAAAATTGCGAGCAAAGGTCACATACAACCGTAGCGGCAGCCATTAGAGCCGCCGGCGTCGTCTTATCGCAGCCAGTCAGTAGCACAACACCATCCAGGAAATACCCATGGAGAATCTCAACCAAGCCCAAGTACGACAGATTGCGATCGATAGCCGCAGTGGGCCGCCTGGAGCTCTCCTGTATCGGATGCGTCGGAAACTCAAAGGGGATCCCGCCAGCTGTCCTGATGCCTTCGCGCACCCGTTTAACCAGCTCAAGATGATGGCGATTGCACGGCGCCAAATCCGAGCCGGACTGCGCGATCCCGATAATCGGCTTTCCCGACATGAGCTCCTCCTTGGTCATCCCGTAGTTCAGATACCGCTCGATATAGAGCGCCATCATGCCGGGGTTGCTCTCGCAATTAAACCACCTGGAGGACCGCAGCTTGCGGCCAGCTCTCGGCACCTTCGCGGCGCCGGTCGTCATGGACGCCAGCGACTTCTCCAGCTCAAGAGTGCGCCTCCGCAGAGCAAGCAGTTCTGCCTCGCAATCTTCGATGTTCACCGGCGCGCGGTTCGCACCGGCATCGCAGGAGCAGCCTTCGCATGAGGCCGAGGCTTGTGGGTTGCACGGCATTGTCGAGTGCCTTTGGTGATCTCAACCACCAGCCTGGGTCCAGAATATGAATATGTCACTGAATATGTACGATGGGGATAGGGAAACCTTAATTGGTGAAATGCCGAAAAAGCGGAGATGCTCCGACCGGCGTGCCGAATCCACCTTATTGCTGATGCAATGGTTATCAATAGATCGAGGGCCCGAACAGGGACCAGGGGAGATGAATGTTTATTTAAATGGCAAGAGTAGCCAGGATCAGGTCCTCAGAGGCTCAATTCAAATGATGTATGACTGATGGATCAATTCCAGCATGTCCCTGGAAAATGGATGCGGCCGGTTCAGATACCCCACGCTACCGGAAACTGGGGCATGGGGGTCGCATTGGGCAGATGCTGGCGATGGGGATGACACTAGATTATCAAGCAGAGAGAAAGTATGATGCTGATGATGCCGGATATGCGGTCTTTTATACATATTCCTGGTACTCCGTAGCAGCCTCTCACTGAGGAAAAGCAATATATTCCAATCAAAGCGCCCGTTTGTTGCGACACAGGTGACCCGATATTGCTTTTTGCTTCTAGATTTCCTGCCAAACAATATGAAAGAAACGCAAAGAAGAAATCAAATGAAATGAACTGCTAATTGAGGCAGTATTGACGATATCCCACATCTTTTCTGGCGTCTACAATATTGTAAATGTCTCATCCCACTCTTCCGGTGGCATCCCACATTGTCTACCCCACGCTTCACGGCGCACGCGACTCAACAACTGGTCATGTCATTTTTGCTAACCTGCTCCTTTGAGGGCTTTGCAACTCCATTGCAGGTCCATAACTTGTCCTTTTGGTTTGATTCTAGTAGATGAAGCAAAAAATTCTTGGAATAGACAGGAACGACAAGGTCAATCGTAGTATTCCCATGAAAACAGACCAATAAATCAATTCCGGAACGCCTGCGATGCCAGAGAAGGGGGCTCGACTCAGCTTGGATCGAGCATATCTACTAGAAAAGCACAGAGCAGAGAAGCGATACGACAAAGGATCTACTGAGGCGCACACTGCGCGGGCTCTCCGTCGTCGTCCTCGTCTTCCCACGCGGAGCCACCGTGCCCATCGCGGGCCCCAAACTCATCTAGGTTTCCTTTAGGGTCGTAGTCGACTTCGTCGACGGTGTCGGCCTGGATCAAGGGTTCCGGCTTGGGCAGCATCTCGCGGAGTCTTTCCAGGACGGCTGCACTGGGCTTCCACTTGGCGTCGGGGAACTTGATGTTGACAACCAGGTACAGGTCGCCCCGGGCGTCGCTGCGCTTCAGCGGCATGCCTTCTCCGGGTACCTTCAGCACCTGACCGGGTGATAATACCTCCCCAGGAGACTTGGGATGAGTGATCTCGATGCCTCGGCCGTCGAGATGTTTGATAACCACGCGCGAGAAGCCGGTCAGCGCTTCGGCCAGTGTGACGTCAATGGTGGCTGTGAGATCTGCACCGGCTCGTCGGAAGGTTGGGTGTTCCTCTTCCACGATGTGGAACACTATGTCGCCAGGTTCCTGGCCGGGTGCCTGGTCCGCCTCGCCTTCCAGCACGATTCTATCTCCTTCTCTAAGCGGACATTAGCCAGGGGTCATCCGAGAGATAAGATTGCAAGTGTGACTCACCTTGCTCCCCGGGGAATGTAGATCTCCAGCATTTTCTTCTCCTCCACGGTCTTGTTGCCTTTGCATTTCTTGCATTTGTCCTTGGGACTGAAGAATTCTCCCTGTCCATTGCAGGTCGAACAGGTCACTGTTGATGGTGTAAGGAACTGTCCCATCCGCGTCAAGATTTGCTTGAAACCTGTAGTCCAAATCAGTCTAAGATGTTCAAGAAAAGTAACCTCTTGTGCCTCATACCTTGTCCATCACACGTCGAGCACTTCTTAGCTGTCGCTCTTTCCTTGCCACCTTTACCCTGGCACAGACTGCAAATGACATTTTTTGTGCTAGCAAACTTGACCGTCTTGCCCTTGTAGAGGTCCTCTAACCGCACTTCGTATTTTGTGTTCTCGTCCGGGCTCCGTCGAGGCTTGGGAGGCCGTCCGCCAGGCATGCCGCCCATGCCGGGCATCCCACCACCCATCCCGAACATCTGCGCCAGAATGTCGTCTAGATCCGGACCTCCTGCCATGCCGGGCTCACCGGACCCATTGAAAGCAGACATGCCATGGGTATCGTAAAGATGTCTTTTGTCTTCATCGTAAAGGATATCGTAGGCTTCTTGGACGGCCTTGAATCGTACCTCTGCGGCTTCTCGTTCGGCCTCGGGGACTTTATCGGGGTGACTCGCGAGCGCGGCCTGTCCATTTATCATCGAGTCAGTAATTTTTGTTCTATGCCCGGCTGGAATGAGGACGGTGTGCGTTTCCGACCTTGCGATAAGCCTTCCGGATCTCGTCTTTCGTTGCGCTTCGAGACACCTCTAGGACCTCTGCATGGGTACGTTGTAGTCAGCTATTGTTCAGATCATGAAGAGCAGGAGAGCAGGAGAGCAGGAGAAATACCATAGAGGTCGATCTCGACACCAGCCATCTGGTAAGCGTAAGCGATTGTTAACGATAGAGAGACTGTCCAACACAAGCATACTGGGCAAGGCTGTCCCTTCCTCCAAGCACTCCGGGAAATCTAACAGTGGGTTGACGGTGCTTATCGCGCAAAAGACAGGCGCTCTGCAAGAGAGTAAAGGTATTTGCTGATGAGGGGAATGTGTTGTGTTTGATTGTGATTGATACGATGCGGAACCCCAGAAATTTTAGCCCGCTTTTTTTCGCAGTCGGCGGTGTTTCTTTGCAGATCTCCGATTTATCGTCCCTGCGCTTTGCGGCGGTCAAATGACAATCCGCGTATTTCGGACTTAGCCCAACAACAGCAATCATAATTATTGCGCGTCTTTCGCGGATAGCATTTCTGCACCATGAGACCCTCTCATCTAGGGCTCCTAGCCCGTCGATCGTGGATCTGCACGCGATGCAGAGCAGCCAACTATTCTTCTATTGCGCCAGCCCGCGCTGGCAACAAGTCCAGGAAGAACCTCCCCGATGCACCGGCCAGAACACGGTTCGCACCGTCGCCGACCGGATACCTTCATCTTGGATCCTTGCGGACCGCATTGTTCAACTACCTCTTGGCGAAGCGGACGGGGGGCCAGTTCCTACTGCGAATCGAGGATACAGATCAGGTTCGGCCCTGGAGCGAGCACGGAAGGTTGGAACGTTGTAATCAGGGCTGACGAAGGGTACAGAAACGGACAATACCCGGTGCGGAGCAACGCTTATACGAGGATTTACAATGGGCTGGGTTACAATGGGATGAAGGTGCGTGGTTTTGCGCGGAGTTCAAACGGAATGGGGATGCTGATGCGAGTTATTTCCTACAGGTCCGCTGGTCGGAGGTCCATACGGCCCATACAGACAGGTAAGCGCACAAGAATATGGAAAGCCAATGCTTGAGACTGGGGGCTGAGATGGTTGGTTGCAGTCCGAACGGACGGCCGTGTACCGCGAACATGCCAACCAATTGGTCAAAAACGGTCATGCATACCGATGTTTTTGCTCTGCAGAACGGCTGGACTCGCTCGCAAGACATCGCAGTCAGGCTGGACTACCTCCCGGTTACGACAGGCAGTGTGCAGACATCCCCGCCGAAGAATCAGAGGATCGAGCCGCAAAGGGCGAAGCGCATGTCGTGCGCTTGAAGGTCGAGGGCTATCCCATGTTCGATGACCTGGTGTATGGCAAGACCGGACAGAATCGGTCGAATAACAAGCTGGATCTCATTGAGCGAGTCTACGATGACCCTATTCTGCTCAAATCTGACGGACACCCGACCTACCATCTGGCAAATGTGGTGGACGATCATTGCATGAAGATCACCCATGTGATCAGGGGAACCGTGAGTATACAAACCCGGAAAACAGACTGCAGATGTTGACTCGTACAGGAATGGATGCCCTCAACACCAATGCATGTCGCGCTGTATAACGCCTTCAACTGGACACCTCCGCGCTTCGGCCATGTTCCCCTCCTCGTAGACAAATCCGGCCAGAAGTTAAGCAAACGAAACGCAGACATTGATCTCAGCTTCTTCAAGGATAAGCAAGGCGTGTTCGCAGCCACACTTATCAACTTCGCGGCTCTTCTGGGCTGGTCGCACACCCAAAAGTCCGATGTCTTCAGCCTTGAGGAACTGGAGCAACTAGTGAGTTGACATAGATCCCCGTCCACCATGCTCTGCTCACAAAACCCCCAGTTCAACCTTAAAATCACTCGCGGCAACACCGTCGTTGCCTTCGAAAAGCTCTGGTTCCTCCAAAAGGCCCACGCGCAGCGATTCGCCGCCACCGGGGGCCCCGTCTTCGACGAGATGGTCGCGAAGGTCTCGCAGGCCGTCGAAGAAACCTACCCAGCAGACCAACTGTACGTGCATAATCCCAACTCATCTCCAAGAACCACCAACTCACCCTCCCACAGGGCTATTATTCTCGATTCTCGTCCACTGGCAGAATACATCCCCCCACTCCTCAAAGCCGACGCAAAATCCTACACCAACGCTTCGGAATTCGTCCAGCGCAACTCAACCTTCTTCACTACCACTCTCACACGACCACCCTACACGCCAACCCCAACCCAGGACGGCACCACCATCCCCATCGCAGCCCTCCACACCGCCGCCGCAGCCCTCACCCTCGTTCCAGCCTCCCACTGGACCATCGAAACCCACCGCTCCAACATCGCCTCCTACGACGGCTCGGCCGCCGTCCTGCCCGCTCCCGCTTCCGCTTCTCCGGGAGAAACCGCACCCGAGAGCACAGATGCAGACGCGGAAAAGTCCCGCGTAAACGCAGACAAGGCCTTCAAGAAGGAGTTGTACCATTACCTGCGCTGGGCTTTGTCGGCCGGTGCCCCGGGCCCCGGAATCCCCGAGACAATGGAGATCCTTGGCCGCGCGGAATCGCTTCGCAGGCTTCAAGAGGCACGGGAGCTCACGGCTGAGGTGTCGCCTGTCCGCACGCCAAAGAGAGCTCAGTCGCAGCAGGGTGAGGATACAACCTGGATGGGCTCTCTTGCTCCGCGGTCCTAGAAGGGTCTTGTAAACGATTCCTTTTGCTCACACCGGTGTATCTTACCTCACAGGATTCTGTACTATACTGCACATTATACAGCAAGCATCCGCCGTTGAATCTCTATTCAGCCACTAGGTGCCATGTAAAGCCTAAGTATTCTACGTTTACCATTCACTACAAGTTGAGACTAGTCCGAATAATAAACAAATATCTCATTAAAAAGCATATTAACAAAATGCGCTACACTGATATCATAATCCATGAAAATAGCATGCTATGCGACTTGTACAATACCGAAGAAATCCCAGGAAAAAGACACAAAACCCAACCAAACCAAGGAGCATGGAAGCAGAATGTGATCACAAGGATCGGGGAATTCAAAAGGCACATTAAGCGCGAAAGCCGAACATAAGAACTGGCGCCAGCCAAGGACCTTGCACTTCCTTCTGGTGGGAAGTTCAAGGTCGAGTATTCAAACACAAACGAAGCATAGTACACGAAAGTCGTCGGTCTGTCTCTTTCGACAGTGGGAGCCGGGAAGGAACGCCACCGAGACATCACCTCCTGGGCGGAGGGCATAACAGGGTTGCAGCAGGAGCTATGGGAAGGAGCCCACGACCTGGAGAATCAAATCAAGAAGAACGTCACGAACGTGGTATAATCCAAATTTTGGCGTAGAGAGTCAAAGACGCGGTTTTAGCGCGACTTTGGTGTCACCCGCAGGTCAAAAGCGAGTTGGACGCTGCTCTGCGCATCAGAGGGTTGACTTGCGGTGTATCAACGATAGCCTGAATCATCGCGGAATCGTAAATGCCAAGCAGTACCAGCTTCTAGTATGCCTCCATGTCGTCCGTCCAACCAGCATCACTGCCAGCTACTCTGACTATCTGGCCATGATGGTCATCAATCGGCTCCTCTGGGCTAACGCTCCTGATACCCTTGGCCTTTTTTCCCGCAAGAGATGCGTTGTCTTCAGGGGCGAATCGCTTGCTATGAGCAGCACGAAGTTTGGCATAGTAGACATCGCTAGCATCGGCTTCGGACTCGGACCCGTCATCAAATGTTTCCCAGTTTTCAGACCCTGTGTTGGCCGTATCAACGGTTGAGGAGTTTGAAACCTGTCTAGGTGCCGGTGGAGGAGGCGCATGTTGCAAGTAAGGATTTGGTCGTGGGAAATTCGGTACAGATGATATTGACGAGGCCGAGGATTGAGAGCACTGAGAGAAGCCGGTAGATCGCTGCGAGAAAACAGAGGAGCTCATGAACGATCGCTGATTGCGATCGTCATAAACGTCCTCCGGGCTGACAGGCCGAACGAAGGCATTAGACATCGCGCTAGCACATCTCGGAGGATCCATTGAATAGGGCCCTCTGTCCTCTTTGGGATCAATCGTCAAAGCACGCATCCTAGGTGGGGGAGCACGTGGTGCTGGAATTTTGCCCATGGTGCTGGAAGAGTAAGAGCCTGGTGCTGCGCGATGGCCAGCGGAATTGTTCCCGTAAGGCATGTTACTCAGGGGCACCCGGGCTGGGATCTTCGAGGGCGATTTCGCGCCGGCCCTAGATGGGCCGATAGTGTTGTATTTCGGCTGGCCGTTTCCAGTGGGCGTTCTGGTGGCGGAGCGAGGAGGAGGGGGCCCTCTCATGACACTTGCCGGACGAGAAGGCGGTTGTGGCCTTCCAAAGCCTGCTTTTGAATTCGCAGAGGGTGGAGCGGAGGGTGTCTTGGAGCGTGGAGGAGGTTTGGCAACGACTGGGGTGAGTTCGTCAAGATATCTCTCGCCGTGGACAAGGAATGGCCTGCCATACTCCTCCTCCCATCTTTCCAACTCTTTTCGGAGGTCTGCTTCGACTTTGGGCAACTCTTTGGCGATCCTCTTTCTCATCTTCTCCTCTCTCAAGAGCTTACCAGGATCACGCCTCTCTCCCTTGTTTCCGCGCGCCATGAGACGTGAGGCATCTTGACTCGATGCAGCCAGGGCTTCTCGCTCCGAAAGAAGACTCTTATGCCTCTCAATCAGCTGCAGCGTTGGGGCGCGTTGCTCCTTCAGCGCCTCCAGCCGGGCAATTTCGGCCTCGTGTGCTTCGAGAAGCGCGTCACTGTAGACATCCGAAAACGCGGGCGTAAAGTCAAGCATTTCTTCTTCGGAGAAGTAGAGCCCATCCCAGAGTTCCTGCAGTCGGCAGCGCGCGTCTTCCACGAAAAGGTGCAGATTCTGTCTTTTAAGTTCATTGAGACGTGCCAGTTCCTCTTCAAATTCGTTGATCGTCCGCAATCCGCACCCGCGATTGGCCGCGAGGAAGGCCTTTCTATCGCATTCCTCGACTCCAAAGCGCTCCCACAACGACTCCACAGCGGTTCGAAGCTCCTTCAACTTGCGCTCGCGCGATCTCTTCTCTTCCAGCAACTTCTCGCGCTTTGCCGTCAAGTTCGCCAAATCCGACTCGTGGAGGCCCAACTGCTCAGGAGACTCGCGGTAATACTTGACGATATTGGTATCCGTCTGCACCTGAGGTGTTCCAAGTTCGGCCCAAAGTTTAATAATCTCTTCGCAAGTCGTCTTGACAAATTCAAGGCGACGGTGGTATTCTTCATAGACTCTCGTAAATTCATTATCTAGCGCGGTAACATATGATGGGGAAAGGTCAAAGCTCGGCGCAATGGACGATCCAGGTGCTGTTGGAGGGAGTTCGATGGTCACAAAAGAGGACTCTAGATGGGAAGAGTATGATTCGAGCGCTTCAACGAGTTCTACTGCCTGTTAGCGAGTTTTTTCTAAACTGGCTCATTTTAAATTCATCACTTACTCTTCACCTGTTCGAAGCGCTCCCGGTGCATTTTGCTCATTGCTCCATGTTTTTCGCGGAGAAAAGAGAGACAGCGGTTGAGGGGATATGTGACGCGCAGATCGTCATGATTGAGCTGATACTGTCCATTGGCTTTCTCATCCACTAGAGATTCCTCCATTTGTTGAATGGCAGTAATAAGTCGTTCCGCCTCCTCTGTCATGCTGGTTCTCTCACTGCAGAATGCTATTAGCGAGAAAAGCGCGATCAACCCCGGTGCCACTTACTCGTCCACAATCTTCAGATGGTTATTCAGAGTCTCAGACAGAGCACTGAAGAGCTACGCGGTTCAATCAATAAGCATTCGCCTTTCAAGACAATGAGCGCAAGGATGAGACACCATACCTCCGCCTCTCGTGTTTCGCGCTCATGGCTCGGAACTCCAATATCATCGAATATGCCATGCAGCTGCGTAACTATATTGTTGACCTGGGTGGTCAAATAACTCGTGTCGACCGTCATTGGGATTATGGGTCCCAGATATGGGGTTGAGATAGCGGCACTCTTGATCGATTATGTGAAATGAGGGCAAGACCGCACTATGTGAGTTCTGCGCTCTGAAATTCTCCGGCGACAGAGCGCCTCGACCTATGAAGGTAGCGACAGCAAATAATCACGCGCAGAATCCAAGACAGGCGGCGATCCACCATGCGAATAAGATCAACAGAGGCCGAATGTCATCTGCGAGAAATAAGGGGGGGTGCCCGCAGGGCTTTATGTACGTCACGATCGTTGCGCGTGTATGCAAGGACAGGGGAAAGAAAGAGATTGAAGGGAAAAGCAAATAGCTGAAAGATGGGGCAGTGGAGTGAGGCAAGGAAGAAAGGGAACAATAATATTGACGCCTTTACCCTGTGATTACAGTTGTGCAGCAGATGAGATGCAGCCGCAATCAAGATTCGCCCGGCGCGGCTGTTGATGGCGTCCTGTCGCTCAGGCAACCGCTGACTCAGCTGTCCACCGCCCGTTTCTGCCACTGCACCCCTCACCGCCTCTCCACTCTCGATTATCGAGCTGTCTCCGCTTGATTCTAGAGCTCATCATCTAATAGAGGTACAAGGTCGTTTGATCAAATCCGTTTCTGTGTGCCATTGCTTCAACAATCTGTACGTTCGTACCCAATCAAGTATACCGGCATCCTACAACAAACATATCCATCATGCAGGCTGCACAGCAGTCCTGGGGTTCGTACTCCAATGACCCACTTGGCATCACTTTCCGATGAGCTACTGACACCGAGGCTTTCTGCCCCTCCATCAGAGCTCGAAAACGCCATCAGCCTCATCGACCCTCAGCGGGACGCGCTCTATCGATACGATGAGGAAACACACAAGGCCCTGAGCGCCGCCCGGCCATGGGCCAAAGACCCCCACTACTTCAAGTCGATACGCATCTCCGCCGTAGCATTAATCAAAATGACCATGCATGCTCGCTCAGGCGGCTCCCTCGAGGTTATGGGTCTGATGCAAGGCTATATTCTTCCCGAGACGTTCGTCGTAACAGATGCCTTCCGCCTCCCCGTCGAAGGTACCGAGACCCGCGTCAACGCCCAGGACGAAGCGAACGAGTACATGGTGTCGTACCTGCAATCTTGCCGTGATGCGGGCCGCATGGAGAACGCAGTGGGCTGGTATCACAGTCATCCGGGCTATGGATGCTGGCTGTCAGGGATCGATGTCACGACGCAAGACATGCAGCAGCTCGGCGGGCCGTTTGTTGCTGTCGTCATTGACCCGGAACGCACCATCTCCGCCGGCAAGGTTGACATTGGGGCCTTCCGCACTTTCCCCAAGGATTATACCCCTCCAAAGGAAGGAAACGAGGATGAAGATTACCAGACTATTCCCCTCAGTAAGGCGGAGGATTTCGGCGCATACGCGCACCAGTATTACTCGCTTGAGGTGTCGTTCTTCAAGAGCAGCCTCGACACGGAACTTCTGTCGCAGCTTTGGAACAAATACTGGGTGGCTACGCTGAGTCAAAGTCCCCTGTTCACAACTAGGGATTACGGCAGTAAGCAGATGATGGATCTCAGTCAGAAAGTCCGGCGGGCCGCGCGGGGAATTGAATCCAGCGGGTCACGAGGTGGTACCACTACAGCTAAAGATCAGCAGCTGGAGAAGGTAGTACGGGACGGACAGCGGATTGTCTCCGAGGAAGTAAAAGGTCTCTTGGCAGCTGAGGTTAAGATGAAGCTCTTTCAGGGCATCGGAGAGGGGACGCAAACGGGTGCCTCATGATCTCTTGTAGCAGGCTCGTAAGGCTTTTTCACAATATGAGATGGGTCTGGTTACCCTCATCTTAATGACACAATGCAAGAAGAGTTACTATGGTTTATATCCGCTCACAACACCTCTGGTCATCCAGGCCTAGTGTTCTGTGTATTTCGGTAAAGACGATCCATGTAGAAAAGGATTGCAATAGAAGAGACAACAAGGACAAGAAATTAATCATTATCCGTCGAGTAAAGAGCCGACAACAGAAGCTGTGTCATGAAGGATCATCAAATTTACTATAAAGAGTATATGTGTAGGAGCAGACCACAGACTCCAGATAAGCTAAAGATACACCAGAATTCATACAAAGAAAATAGTGAAGGTCATTGTACAAAGTGGGCCAGTTGGTGCCAAGCGCTCAATGATGTTCCACAACATATACAATGAGAAATCAGAATAGGTGCAATGAAATATGGTCGGAGATGGTTTCGTAGAAGAACCGGGCCGCACGAGACAGAAGATCGATACCACGGTATTAAGTTCTCTGCTGCCGATGTGAGATAGGAAAGAGACGTCAGGTATATAGAGATCGAAAAGAGCGTTGGGAATATCATTATTTCATGCCAATGCGGCCGCCGACATCGGACTGGCCTTCATTAGTTGGCCCTTTGAGTTGATCATTCATTCTTCAGCTCTTCCACGCAGGCGAGCTTTTATCAGCGAGTTTGTTCAAACGCGATAGTAAGAGGAAGTATCATCAACTCCTCTTTCGCAGGCTCGGAGGATGTCGCCGGATGAAGGCTGCAAGCCACAGTTTACTGTCCTGCAAGAGAGCCGGCTCCTGTCACATGGCCGCGACGTGGAGCAACCGTACCGAACCTAACTGACGATCGCGGACGCCAGAAGGGCATAGCCGTCAATCAGGAGGGCGCAAAGAAGTGGAATGCCAATCGGGTAATGTTCACTTCAAGAGTGCGATCATGTTGAAAGGAGCAGGTGTAAGCAACCAACGCAAAGGATAATTGACTGGCTATCGAGCAAATATCCGGGGGCTTTAGGCTGCTGCCGCTACCAAATCATGACGCTTGGATCGCTGTGGCGCACTCCTCGGTTTGTTGTAGCATGTGACGCTAAGAGACGGCACGCGACGCACATGCAACGCTGACATGGAACACCCAATAGGGTAGCAAGTCACGACGATGTAGTGGGAGCGGCCAGACTATAGAAAGCCGGATTCCGACAGTAATCTACGGATAAATAGGAAACCAAAGTTAGTCTTCAATCAACCAATCCTTGGAAAGGAAAAATTTGCAAACGAGAAAAAAAGAAAATCCTCGAAATGTCCATCGCGGGTATCATTGGGGAATTTCAACGCCGCAGGTGCAGAAAACAAAAAGGAAAAAGAGATAGAAAACAAGAAGAAAGACAAGCCGACCTGATCATCGCGATGCGATAACCATGCTCGCGATGGCCATAGTACTATGACTTCTTAAGTCTCTACTCGTTGCAGCAGCAGCATACCTCGCTATTTTCTCGTCCTCACGTTCTCTCGGCTCCACCTCCAAACTCCGGTCGTACATGTCGTGGACGTCACCTGCCGCTTGAAGATTACTGAGTATGTAGTCCTGTAGTTCCGGGACTGGCTGAAGGAGATACGGGACATTTTGATATTGTTGAATATCCCGAATGACTTCCGCAGTCTTGGCGCGTTTGTTGAAATTGATGAGCTCTGAGGGCGTAAGAGATGGGATACCGTCTTCGATGAACGTCAGGTCCGTTAGGTAAACGCCTGATTGAAGTTTAGCCACTTGTCACTACAAAGCGCGTAACAATATGAGGGACTCGAGCTATTCGTACCAAAGAAAGGGATGCAAGGGGGGTTTGCGAGATGCAAAGTTTCCCGATACTCGCCAAAGTTCTTCGTGCTGGCCATAAGTCTGCGCATCTGCTCCAGAATGGCAGACGTACGGCCACTAACTTGAGACCAAGTCCGACCGAGTCGATGAATCGGCGCCGTCCCGAGAGCAGAGATAATGGATGTGAGCGTAGAGTAATTGTTGAGCGCGCGGCATCTCTGTGCGGAAAGTCAGTGGTCTGCATGAATCGAAGCAGGAGAGAATGGGAGAAGGCAATCAGCATACATCTGCCACGTTCACGAAATGCTTTATGACGACAACTCGCTTCTTGACATCGGACTGCGTGAGAATCATCTCCGCAACCCAATTTGTCAATTGATTTGAATGGAGAATCAGAGCCTTCACATTCGTAGCAGGTTCCGGTTCGTCGGGGCCAACCTTCTTCTGCCAAGTCTTATTCAGACACTCAATGGGCCTGATTTTAGAGTAGAGGCGTGATTCGATAATGGTAAGCTGCCTGGCGAATTCCGTGGGATCAATATCCAGGAATTTGAGCTTCTTCATGTTCTTAGGAAGGATGGGGGGTGGAGCGGCGGTCGCCTGTGTAGGGACGAGGCGCTTTACTGTAGTGTCTTGACCTTTTAGGCGTTGCTCGATAACTGCCATCAGTTGAGGCGAGCCAGGTGTCTTCGTCGTCGCAATTGAATCCTTGGTAAAGGCGTGAACGCGGGCCAAAAGATTCATATGTGCCTCATCATTCGGCTCCATCCAGAAATGCTCAAACCAGCTTTTGAGGATATTGACAACTCGGAATCGGATAGGCTTTTGCTTCCTGTCTATCCACATCTGCATTTCATCTGGATTCAGTCCAAATGGAGGCTGAATGTTGAAGCGCTCAGCGAGCATTTCGAAGAGCTCCGACGCAGTCGTGAAGGATCGATACGTGAGGAGGAAAGTGTTATTGAAAGAGGCGTCCAGTTTATCATGGCGAGTCAAGTGCTCTACCAAGCCCGCCAATGTTCCACATTTCAAGGTGGGCACATCAGCCTTGGTGTCGTAGAACACTTCCCCTTCGTGGTCCATCTTCAAGAACCAAGGCGTCTCCTCCGGTTCCCGGACAGGCTCCCGAATAGGTTCCCGAGTAATAGCCGCTGGTGGAGCTTGGCCGAAGAACCTCTGGGCCTTATCCATGTTGCGACGAACTTTTTCGGATGGGGGATCGACGGAATACGAGGACGGTATCCCGATCGTCTCTGTCGCAATCCTTGCCTGAGAATCACCGCGACTATGAATGCCCTTATACGCTTCCTTGTCGCCCTCCAGACGGCTTTCAGTCCTAAAGGTAGAAGAGGGCTCGGGAATCTGTTCGAGAAGAAGCGATAGAGAGAAG